CCGGAAGGGTTGGTCTGCCCAGGCTTTAGGTGCCTGAAGGACGCCCTCCCCTTGGTCCATACTTTCAGAGCGTATGTTCTTTTCCTCCAGTGCGACAACCTGACGGTTCGGCTGGTGTGTCCTCCGCCATTAGGACCTGGTCGCTCGGTTCTCCGATTTCAAACCCCGGTTCGAATTCAGCCCTCCTGTGGTACCGTCATAGTCACTACTACCTCCAAACTCGGGACTTGCCAAATGGGTTTTCAGTTATTCCGGTTCCTTAGATTTATTGTGCCAAAGCTCCCATAACTAGATGGTATGACCGAGATTACAGATTTCTAGATCCAAGGAATATATTTTCATTTTTGTTAACAAATCATATATTACTAGCATTTGCAAATTTTTCTATGATGCTTTGTCGAACACTTCTGGTACTTTCCTTAAAAACTAGCAAATTAGCTAATATATTATGTCTGAATTATTTACACTATCTTTTCCTTAAATTTAGCAAATGCTAAATTGATATACTTGTGAACTTTTACAAATATTATTTATATTATATATATATTAACATTTTTAGTATTTTTGAAACTATGTTATGATCCTAACTTTAAATCAAAGCTAACTTTTGTTCTTCAATTAGATTATATGCTTTATTATTGGACCTAATTTATTAATAACAAATTGATTCTGTAAACTATAAGCAAAAAAACTATGTTAAAAAGATATTTATATTTGAAATCATAATTGATATAATTAACTACTGAACACACCCTCAATTGTTTAATCTTGAGATCTGCTATCTCATTATTTATTTTAAGCCAATGTCTTATTTATAACTTCTTCATTTTGTGTTTGTTGCTTGATAAAAAATAGTAGAAAATAACAATAAAAATAGTTTAGTAGCTATATCGAAAAACTAACTCAGAATGTCAGGTGGCTGCAAATAAAGCATATTCTTGGCACCGAAAGCAAGGTTCCAGGCCTTCATGCAGACTTAGTATGAAGCCTACTGGAGTGCATCCATAACTAATTGAACCTAGATGCTGCACAAAAAATGCGCGGCAGATCCTCGATTTTGATTGGCTAAAAAAATCAAGCTAGAATTACTCATAATTTTACTAATAAAATCGCAGCCGCCTATTAAGTGAAAATTGTTCCTGGGTCAATTTTACCATAATGCGTGCTTATTTTTTAAAAATTTCTATTTTTGTAATGAAAAAATTAAAAAGTTAATTCCGGCCGGAATTTAGTAAACAATTTTGTAATGCGGACCAAAATTTCGAAGATCTTCGGCCGTTAGCCAATCAAAATCGAGGATCTGCCGCGCATTTTTTGTGCGGCACCTAGGGTAAATTCCATAACTACTATAAGCGCAGTTGTATAATTTGGTAGTTGTTATGACAATGAAGTTCAACTTCTTCCCTATCACCTATTGACATCCGACATATTATAAGTAAGAAATACAAATACTAACCAATATTCCACCCTTTTTGAGTGAAAATGCAGCCTCAGACCATTCAGGTATTTCTGAAAGGCATGTTAAAAATTTTGAGATAATTGTATGTTCATGATTTTTATTAAATGTAAAATCACTTTTAGAACGTAGAAATTGGAGTATTGAAATCAGGCTTAAATTATTGGGATCCAAGTGTTTTTCTAATCGCTCGAACCCTTTTAGTTCTTCAAGCTGCTTTGACATTTCTGTTGAATATAGCAAATACGTGCAATTAAAAACAATTTAATGCGTATTTAAGTAGATCGTAATTATGTATTCTATTATTAATGGTTATTATATAAAAAAGCCTCGGAAATACTAGCAAAAAGCAAGTGATGTATAGACTAACCCCAAGTAGCTGGCTACTACGCACTGGCCGGTGAGAGTGGAGAAAGTTTTCCCTAGGCGTTCTTGAATAGTATAAATATATGTTACTAATACAACTAGATGCCTATGTACCAACTGGTTGTAAATAGAAAAATATATGTATGCTGCCATAACACAACTGGATACCTACGCACCATTTTGTTGTTCACAAATTATGGTTTACTTATTTTAGCCTTTACCGTATAGGCACGTAATAACGCACATGGGCATTATTTCGAAATTTCAATTTTTTTAAAAATAGCATATTTGACTCAAAATAACGCCCATGCGCGTCTCAAAATAACGCGTCCCTCCATATGTAGCAGATTATCATTCAAGAGAGTAGTTGAAATTTATTTTTCAAAATTAGCATAATATTCGAATTATCGCGCATGCACGTTGTCAGGGGCTCCTGAGGCCCCCGAATTTATTTTTTCTATTTTTATCTTTTTTTTTTACTTTTTTTTGTAACATTATACCGGCTACGTTCTAAAAATCTAAGCTTAGCATAGTTGGACAATATAGTAGTAACATGAATTAGTGAAATTATGACCTCGATGCCTATTTTGGAAGGATCGAAGGTCAAGAAAATTACGGAAGTGAAATAAATGAAATTTATGTCATTTATTTCATTTATTTCATTTTCTTCATCTTTACAATGAAGAAAACTTGTTAACATATGTGCTGAGCCATTATAGCCGTAGTAATGTAAAAACTATATAATGTAACGACTTTTCACGAAAATAAAGGACAACTCCTTCGAGTTCTTAAAAACACAGAACTCATTCGAGTTCTTAAAACCAAAAACTCTAAAACTTCGAAGTCTTAATAGTAGAAGTTGTTCCTTAATAAACTATACCTCTTGACACCTAAGTCATTTATAAACCATAATTAGTATCCCGAAACTATTGTCAAAATACCCAAAAGTCTTGATCGAAAGAACAAAAGCATTAAGATTCTTATTACTTCCCTTATATAGTAAATTAAATCGATCATCCCCGTGACCCCATTATTATCGAACAATACAATTGATCAACCTAATTACCCGTGACTTAAGTCTCTCGTGACATAATTGATTAAATTGGAAATCTGATTACTGCTAAGATACCTTCGTGACGTATCAGCAATTAGAAATCCGATCTCAGCTGGCCTACAAATCTCTGACGTAGAATTGATGACCGAAATTGGTGCCACCGATTAAAGTTAAATATTGAAATCCCGAAAAGCCGCAGTTACCGAAGAGACATCCACGTGACCAAGAAAAGCTGTAACGCTAGAATACGAAGAGATAAATATATTAAGTGTTAGAAATACTGATACAAAAGAAACAACCAAGAAACAATAAGACAAAAAAGGATACTTATATTAAACCCGGCAAACCCTAACAAGACCCAAAAAGACCTTATACCTCGGACCAAGTCTTCCACACCTCTATTCGAAGCCTTCCACCATAAGGTCTTGGAGTCTTGACGACATTTTTGGAGTATTAGAGTATTAGTTTAGATAGTTTTAGTATTATAGCTTAGTTATTGTTTAGTTTTAGGTTTAAAGAAGCCGGTCACACTTTCACAACGTCCCGAAATAACGTGCAGGGGCTCAAAATAACGCGTCCCTGCGCGTTATTACGCGCCTATATGGTATTTATTTGTATATTTATTCTGGCTATATGGATTATTAATCTAATGTCTGTTTGATTTTTGAAAAGGAATGAGAAATCATCCGAAAGAGTAGAAGCTTTTTTTGGAGAGCAATTTACAAAAATCTTAACAATGACAAGATCGAATATGTAGAGGTTATATTCTTAAATATTTTCAATTTTCCTTCTATTAATTTTTAATTTACCATACATTGACTTGTTTGGTTGAAGGAAATAAGCTTGGTTAGAAGGGAAAACACTAGCAGATAAACACCATATTGATTTCTTTAAATCCTGAACATAATTATCTTGGATTAGAAAGTGAAAATGTATCAGTAAATGCGATCACCCCGATGAATTTTGGGTTGAATCATCTTAGATTAAAAGCAGAAAACATTAGCAAATACACTTTGCAAAAACACCACATCAACTTTTTCAATCTCAATATATATTATCTTGATTTCGAAGAAAGAGAAGTATTTACAGATGCACCTTACAAGAACATCCCGCTGATTTTTCTGAATCTTAATCGTAAGTATTTTAGATCAAAACAAGGAAATCATTATCAATGCACATTGCAAGAATAATATTCTGAAAGATTTGGGATTTGAAGGAAGAAAAGCATTGGGGATGCACTTTGCAAAATTTTTTTCTTATGATAATCTTTAATTCCAAAATGGAAAAGATGCACATCACTGACTTTGAATCCTAAACGTAATAATCTTGGACTAGAAGAAGGAAAAACACTATCAGGATACGCTTTGCAGCTGAAAGATTTGAACTTTAAATTTAATAATCTTCGATCAAAAGGAGCAAATGCATTAAGCAGATGTATTATGCAAGATCCTTAAATTTTATGGTAATAATCTTATTAGATAGAATAAAAGCATTAACAAATGCAGACTTCTTCGTACTGTAATAAATATTTGGCTGTTTTTCCATAATTCGGATAGCTAGGTATGAGTAATTTCTTAAGTTATTATGATTTGTTTGTGAACTAGCATAACTTAGCGTCATCGAGCCTGATCCTCAATAAATCTAGTATTATGACCTAGCATACAGAAATTTAGTGACACCGAACCCGGTCCTCAATGAATAGTAATCGTTTTCCTGATACCGTATTCCTCCGAAAATAAGCACCCCCTTTTTGCTATAAGGTTGCTTATTTTCGGGTCTAATAATTTGAATGATTTGATATTTAATTACTTATTTCTATTATGTAAGAGGTGCTTATTTTCGGGTATATATGAATTGTAGGGGTGCTTACTTTCGGGGTGCTTATTTTCGGAGGAATACGGTATATCATTTTCTTGGCAATGAATCGTTAATATTGAGATTTTTTTAATATATCTTAGTTTTTTTTTTTATCTGCATTAATTTAGATGTTCTTAGACGTATCCCTCATTGGTTTTATTAATAACTCAAAAAATTGTTCGGAGTTATCATTTAAATCGAAAAAAATAGGACAAAGATGTTTACGGTTATATTTGAACATTCAACAATAGTGATTTTAAATCAAGTAATGCAAGTGGTTTACTGTAAATTAATTTTTAATACATGTTATTTTTCACTTAGCATATAACTGTAAACATTGTTTAACTCTGTTTCTTATTTCAATTATTAAAATACTATATATGTTCCGTGTCATTTTCAATTTGTCAATTATTAATTGACATGAGTTATTTGCAAACTAAGAAAAGACTTCGCCAATAGATAAAAATTTATATTACTGTAAAAAAAAATGAATTTTTTTTTTAAAAAAAAATTTTAAATGAAGTTTAAACCAATAAAAATAAGTGACAAAGAAAAAAATGAATTATTACAAGCTTGCTGTAAATGTTGTAAGTGGAAACGGGATTAAGTGATTCGGAATATTTTAATTAAAATAAGGTTAGGATATAGGTATATGATAAAATCTATCCTAAAATTCTAATTTAGCTAAAGAATTCTAATCCACTTAAGTTCTGTTTCCACTTATAATATTTACAAATGAGAAAGTATCGAATTAGTGTTTAGATAAACCACAGAATATATCAAATCTACCTATGCCGCTTCGCCAAGTAATTTCATCAGCTTATGAGCCACAAGTTGAGAACTATAATGACTAAATATGAAGCAATGTTTAGCTGCCTAAAAAAGATATTTAAACTAGGTTGGCATTTAAATTTTTTAGTAATTCTATAATTATTCAGAATTTATTCAATAACTACGTAGCAACGAAAAATCCAATAAACGTACAATATCTATTTTCCATCGTATCATTACTGACATTAAGAATAATAACCAATTTCTTGTCGCCATTGAATATTTCAAAAGAGGATACGAAAAAATCCCTATTGATAGGTAAGTTAGCGTCTTATCTATTTCACAAATTTCTCATCACAGTCAACGAATATTCAGAAAGAAAATATCGACCAATCTGAAACGAAGGGGTGTAAAAAGGATCAATTGCAATTAGTGTACATAGTTTATCGAAGAACATTATAGAAAACAAACCAAACGGTTAAAAAGAATAAACTATTAGAATATCGAAATTCAAGTTTATTCCATGTGTTAGATATGTGCATTAATATTATCGTCATAAAAGAAAAAGTAAAAAATAACAGGAGGAAACGTTGAACGTCATAAAATTGTTACACAATTGATAAAAAATTTTTTATATTATTTTACAATACTTCTTTGGAAGGCTCGTTTGACTTATCTTTTCTATGAATATTGAAAATGATTAAACAAACATGAAGCTCTCACTTTGCTT